TACAATGTGCTTATTGGATTTTGTCATATGAATTTTGGGGAGCTGGTCTCTTTCTGACATTTTTGTGAGAGCTACTCTGCTAATAATGTGGATAATGTGGTTTTCGCTTCGATGATTTCACCTCTGTGATTTTCAAGGAATTCTATCATAATGTAGTTGGACTCCTCTTCAGTGACATCGTCTGGATAACTGCAGGTTATTTCACAGGTAGATTCTTCGGTTTTATTTCCTGGGAGATTATCATTTCGTATCTCGTTTATTTTAGTTTTTACCTCATCCTCTGTCATATTTCCACTCTCATCTCTTTATTATTTGAGTGATGGGTTATAGTATTCTGCCTTATATCTATTTTTATCAGATCTATTTCTGTATCTGACAGTCTTTTGTTTCACATGATGTCCCTGCGGTCATTGGCAAGCATGTTTGGGTTGAGATGAGGTCTTATTTCACTTCCTGCCATAGTTCTCCATATTTGGTATGTTTGATTCGTGGTGTTCTTTTCTGGATTTTTGAGAGCGGTGAAAAAGGATGTCATGACTTGTTTATACCCTTCGTGAGTCCATTTTATTCACTTTCTTTTTATTAGTTGATTTGGATTTGAGCTGGGATAGTTTGTTCCAGTGATAGATTTTTCGGATCCAGACTGGTTCCAACTCTGAGGTACGCGGCCCTTGTTGACTTGGGTGACGGTTGATCCGGTATGAAGATTTGTTCGTAATCATTGAGATTTTTAATTTTTTGCGTTTTATCCTTGATGGCATGGGGTAATTTTGTTCAAGTTACCAGCTCTATGACGATTGTCGACCAAGACCAAAGAGCTTGTCGTGCCCATGAAATAGTGGGTGGACATATATTCAGGTTATAGTGGGGGAATTATTATTATTATTATTATTATTATTATTATTATTATTATTATTATTATTATTATACCGCTTTACAGAGGGCATTAGTCAGTTGTAGAGAAGCTGCTGCATATAGCCTAGGGATGAGAACTGAATCAACCCATATTCATGAGATTGAAGTAGTTGAAGAAAAGAAGTAAGCTTCACACATGGGATGCCAATTTTGTGGTTTCTACCACATGCATATGGAAATACTTGCAATGCATGCAATAGCAAAGCTCACTTTCGACTCAGATGCCCTAACCTAGAATAGAAGACAACCAGAAAAAAGCAGAGGCAAAACTAAAGGGGGACAAGAGTGATTCACAATGGCCTCGTGTATACTACGTGGACATCTCCTCAGATGAGAACAGTGATAAACACGCACAGTGGATAAATGTTGTCTCTTCAAAAAATAAAAAATAAAATAAAATGAAAAAAACAACAATAACAAAGATGCGAAGTGCATAATGCTACTAAAAAAGGAGAGAAGGTATTCCAGATTGACACTAGAGCATCTGTAAACATGCTCCCCGAAAAATATGCAAAGCACATCAGGCCGTACCAAGGAGTCCTAACAATGTGAAATAAGTCCTTGGTGAAACTAGTTGGCGCGTGTTGACAGGTTATTAAAAACTCAGAGAACGACTAAAACTACTCAGTGGTATTTCTGATCTTCAGAGATAAGAAACGTCAACCCCTTGTTGGGCCTTCGAGCATGTCGGTCTTGTTGCCATAAAAAAAGAAAGAACTTTCACCTCATTGTCGCTATAGCATTGGAACAAGAGTTCAAGGATGTGTTTAGTGACAAACTTGGCGAGTTACCCGAAGTTGCATCATTGTAGTTGAAGCCTGATGCCATCCCAGCTATAATGACCAATATAAGAATACGTTTCGATCCGACCTCAAAATTATATATATTTTTTTGTTTAGCTCAATTTAAAATACAATCACATGTTTATTTTTTTTTAATTTAGGAAATTGCAGGGGCCAAAACAAAGATTAATGTCTTGACAAACATAATTTTTCAACAAATGAGAATTTTTAAGGAAAAATAGAAAATAGAATTTTATGTGAATAATGAATAGTTTTTTCTTTGTGTGTAAAATGTACTTTCACAAAATAATTATGAAATATGTCATTCATACAAAATAGATTTAATAAACACTAAATAACTTCGATAGTGGTATAATTATCTGGTTTTTTTTTTCTCAACAATCGTCTATATATGCATGAATAAGAGGGAGAGGTCACATTTTGGGGCTACTAACATGAAACATCGTAAAGAATGTAATATATTCAACAGACTCATTTAAACAGGTAATTAGTTTTGATATTTTGGTTACTGTCCTTTTGAAGAAAAGGAGTGATTACCTGTCGTTGAGGTAGTTTAACCTTAGAGGAAAGGATGGGCAACACATGTTGAATGTATTCCCAGTACAAACGTGTACATATTTTAGGTCAGATGATTTATGTATATGTATGATTATGTAGCTTTAACCATGTTAGCAATCGTTATTTTAGTTCCTGCAACATTCAAGGATGCAAAAATGAAGATTATCCTCATCTATCAAGCAATGACCCCTGTAGCACATGAATCTGATCTACGAATTCTTACTCCACTTGTTAATCATGGATTAGGTAGAAATTCACTCAAAAGAAGAAAATGCTGGAGTTTGTAGAATTAGATTTTTAAACCTGTTAAAAGAGGATCACAGCTAGGTATTCTTAGTTTGTGCTGAACCCATTAAAATCGACTCCAGAGTTCAATAATAAACAATGCTTTCTGATTAGTCCATAAATAATAATGTCATGTTTCTGCCTACGTCCGTGCAGTTGATCTCGAGTTGACCTGTTCGGAGTTCAACGCGCCAAAAATAGATAAACATTCTTTCGAGCCTTCCACGTGATCAAGAAAATTCCTAAATCTGAAACTTGACTTATGAGTCATTAAAATAATCAACTTGTCACATTAATCTATGAAACCCAACTTCCTCGCTAAAAGTTAATTTTTATTAACATCAACCCAGCTTGTGGAATTCAGTTTCTTTTCAATCTCAACTCATCTAGTGATCAATTCAACCAAAATGAGATTCAGAAACCAACTCACTCAATATCTTAATAACATAAAGGAAATCGTAACTATATCAGTCGAAGCGAGACTGACATAGTTATAGTAAGTCAAGCAATCTATTTCATCCAATTTCACCATCAACATAAACTGTTTAATTTTTTACCAGATCTATACCATAACACCTTTTATATTAACCTTGATCATACAACCAAGAACTCTAAAGTTTTAAATAAATGTATTATATCGTGTGGACTTGTTATATAAAATTATTTTCTGTTAAAACAAATATCTGCTTATTTGATTATTTCTCTTGTTGTTATTTTTGTTGCATTTGATTTAGTAAAAATAGTAGAGGGTCAGTTTAATTTGTATTTTGTCACCGATACAGATTGGCTAACCCACTACAACTTAATGATGACGAATTTGCCACAAAGTGTTCGCACAATGAGCCATAATAAAAGTTCTTCATATTGTTAAACGTGATGCAATGAAAACATTATAAATGTTTGTTTTGTTTTTGTTGAATTCTAATCACTATTCAGAATTGGAACAATTTTTAATGACTTTCATTTTCCACACGCATTATACTAATGAGTACAAACATTTTCTTGGAAAATAAGGGAATCATTTTGCCTGAGAAAGTTATCAGTGACTAATATGAAAGTTTCATTTATAGAGACTTTTCTAACTCAAATAACAAAAACGAAGTGTTTAATTTTTACTAAAATAACGATCATAAACAAAAATATATTTATAAAATATATCTATATTAAAAATACACATATGCTGTACCATCAAATTAAATAAAAAGCTTAATCACAGTACCTTGTCAGTCGTCTTTAACGATACATACACACACACACGTGTGTGTGTGTGTGTGTGTGTGTGTGTGTATGCAGATATGTATGTATTGTACTTATTACATAAATCATGATTATAAATATTTTAGACAAAACAATTCTCTTTTAATATTATTAACCCTTTTGCTGGTGTATTTTCAATGTTTTTGCTGGCTTCAATGCCACATTTTATAGAAAGTTTGTCATCAAAAACCAATATTATCTCTTCAACAAATAAAGAAAAAATAGTTCTAAAAAGTAAAGCCCATGTCTATTTAGTTTTTTGTTGTTGTTGTTGTTGTTAGTATTTTGCTCAATTAAGTGGAAGCAACAAAAAATCACATCCTTCTCTTGTCTTAGGATATGTCATTATAAAACTAATACAGGTCAAAATATTTTTTTAAATAATAATAATAAATAGACGACCTTTTTCATAGATGTCTGTGTCAAATGCAAAAACTATATACGGTAAGGAATATAGCATATATAAGTTTAACATCGGCGTAACGTAGCGTCCCCATGCCTTTTCTATAAATACTTTCATGATTCTATTGCCTTTCTCACTTTTGGAACTATCGTCCGGTTTCTTGCTTCCTTTTGATCTTCAAAAATTTAATGCAATGTCAGTTGTTCTTTTTTATTTCTATTATTTTATTGTTCTCTCTCCTTAATAGTGACTTTTTCTCATACTCTCTAACATTCAGTAACGCCTTGCGTCTTAGTGGCTTTAATGCTTTGCTTGGAGTGAAGTGATTAAAAAATTATGTGTCAACCTCCACACTACATTTATTTACTGCACCATTGGCAATGCTTTTCTAGACGATAATATTCAAACATAAGTTATCTCAAAAATACCATTCAAAAGACTCGTAAAAGACAGTAAAAATAGCATCAGTTTTAAATACCTTCAGAATCTTAATGATTTCTTATCCAAAATGCACTATTTATAGTAATTAATGGGCTGTTAGTACTTGTAAAATCAGCAATAATAATACATCTTAAATATCAAAATTTGCTAGTAATCAGTATATTCTCAAAAATATAGGTGGAGAAATTCATAAATAAATATGAAGAAATAATTATTGGTATAATAATTAGAAAAGAAAATAGAAAATGTAAGATTAATTGGTGGGAAAAATGAATTTCTGGATTATATCAAGAAGAAAAGCATTAGTAAGAAAACATTCATTTTGTTAAGATAATTACCTTGTTAGTTCCAGAACTGCTTCATTGATGTTATTTCCATCTTTGGCACTTGTTTCTATGAACAATCCTTCGAAAGTCTGAGGAGAGAAAATTAATTTAAAAAATATGCATAAATTCATGCCCAAACTGTTCAGTAAAAAGCTATTTTAAATATAGATTAAAAATATATGAAATAAAGAAAATTGTCATTGTTTCTTTTTTATATCTGATCAACAGAAAATTAAATATACAAATAATAGCTGAAATATTTAAGTAAAACCTAAATCCATAGATAAGACTTGAATAAGACCAATACTCCTTGTATAGCAGTATTAATTGCTGTATATATTTGTATATTTCTATACTTGTTTAATGTTCTTAATGCATAAATACTGTAAACAATTCAGCTGTTACGTATATATATATATATATATATATATAGAGAGAGAGAGAGAGAGAGTAGTAGTAGTAGTAGTAGTAGTAGTACTTACTCTAGATAACCTTTGTCCGTCTTCAAATTTAACTACACGACGCCCTAGTGTCTCCATTTCCGATCTAAGGTCAGTCTTGTTCGCGCAAAGCATAATTGGAAGACGCTTTTGGGCTCCATTCTGAAAATAAAAATTAAGCTTCGTGATACTTATGACACTAAACACCAAAAGTAAAAGGCATTTATGTAAACACATAGAGTTTCTGTTTATGTAAACACATAGAGTTTCTGTTTATGCTGTTCACACATAAAATTAAGTTTATCGTTAAGTATATTGGACTGGAACAAAACTCCGTAATGTTTTTCAGTGTGTGGCTTTTGAACAAGTGATTTCGTTTTCCATGTGACTGAAATTTATGACATGTACATATTTTGAAAGGTGACATTTCAACCCGTCTTTCTATACATATTGTGAATCTTAAATGTTTTTATGTTAAAAGTGAAAATGAAGGAAAATGAGATGGTATTTTCGTCATTTTATTTTTTTTTTTTTTACAGAAAGGAAAAAACACTATAAAACTAGCTAAAATATGTATGCCGTTTATGAAAATGGTGCCATGGATGAGAGTATTTTTCGTAAGTCTTTCGTTTGGCTTGTGAGGATTGTATATTGATAAAATAAAAATAAATAAATAAAACAATATGATAAAAGAAATAAAAAAAGAATCTCGCAGGATGCCCCCCCCCCTGCACATGCCCGAGAAAAGAGGGGCTTGCTGGCGCCAAAGACAAGCAAGAAGAATCGTGCTCTTTTCCCCTGAACTTTCAACGAGTAAACACGCGTCTTTTGCTCGAGAAGGCATTTCCCTTCAACAGAACGTTATTACTGTAATAAAGTTCCCAAATTCATTTCCAGAGTATCTGCCTCCTTCTTCCCTTTGTACCTACTATTTCAGCAACAACAAGAATTCAATGAGGATTTGGAGTTTGAACAGAATCACCCAAACTACTTCAACACTCGTGGAGAAAATTTTAAACTTCCTTTCACCACTACGGCCACTAACGAGTGAAGAAGGAAAAGAAATTCATTCTAACGAGACAACACACCGATATATACAAGGAGGACTGGTCACTGCACAGATACAAAATATAACGGTGAACAACCACAACAGTCTACCAGAAGTGCAGTCCCTCCTCCAACAATCTCCAAATCTCACCAGACCACTTATGGAGCAACCTCTAGTGTCTAACACGAAAGTAACATACGTCATAGACACTGGAGATATCGCCCCTACCTATGCCAATATCCGACGACTATCGGAAGAGAAATATGAGTCAGCAAAACAGGAGTTCACAGCACTCCTACAAGCTGGAATAATTAGACTGTCGAAGTCCCCCTGATCCTCGCCACTATATCTTGTTCCAAAATCAACCCCAGAAAAATGGCCTGTATGTGGCCATTTTAGACATCTCAACCAGTTGACAAAACCGATCCCAAATATCAACAGCTTAGAATCTAAACTTTTCAAGAAAAATGTGTTTTCAAAGATTCCCATGAACAAGTCAGACATCGAAAAATCCGCTGTGACAACATCATTTGGTCTGTTTGAATGAATGTTCATGCCATTTGGCTTGCGTAATAGTAGCTCGGCATTCCAGAGATTTATGGGCAACATATTTATGGATGTGGATTGCTTTTTCATATATATCGACGATATACTGGTTTTCTCTGAATCTAAAGAACAACACCAAGAAGACCCCAGGAAAATTCTCTCGATTCTACAGGTGAACAACCTTAAAATCTCGGTCGACAAATGCCAATTCTATAAAGACGCCATCGATTTCTTGAGCTATAATGTCCACGCCGAAGGATTAAAGCCTACGACACAGAAAGTCAAAAACATCAAAAATTTTTCAAAACCCATAGACTCAAAATCCCTGCGTCGATTCCTGAGAATGGTAAATTTTTACAGGAAACTAATCCCACAAGATGCAGAGGTGTTACTGTCTCTAACTGAGACCGTCAAAACGAATCCAGCAGCTAAAGTACTAAAACTAAACCCGGCTGAAAAGGAATCATTTGTTGCTATGAAGGACATTTTTGCCAAAGTATCTGCATTGTCACACCCTGATCCAGATGCCAAGCAATATCATCTAGTCACAGATAGCTTTAATTATACAGTAGGTGCAGCAATACTCCGCCTTTGATAGAGAGCTTTTAGCAGCATACCAGGCACTTCAAGCCACAGATCGTAGGTAGAAATGTCACCTTGTTTTCAGATCACAAACCCCTTTCCCTGGCATTCAAAAAAATAGATACCGATGAAATCAGACAAGCAACAACGATACTTGTTGATTATGAGTATATCACAGACATACATAAGAGGAGATGAAAATATTGTTGCTGGCTGTCTCGACTCACGTTCTCGGTAATCATAGACTCCTGTGATCTACTAGTGATTAGTGAATCACAAAAAGAGGATGAGGAGATCAGCATATACAAGAGTCGACTGAAACCGTATGAAATGCAAGGGTCATCCATCTGGTGCGACCTATCGACAACCACTACCAAACCATACGTACCCGAACCACTGCATAGGAAGATTTTCGACATGTTTCATGACATCTCCTATCCAGGACCTACGACAGCAAGCAAATTAATAAAAGCTAGGTACTTCTGGCTTGACATGCACAGAAATATACGCTCTTGGGGCAAGAGTTGTCTGCAATGCCAACAGCACATGATCTCCAGACACACTAGAACAGAAAGTACATCTTTATCTCTACCATCTGGAAGATTTGAAACTGTACATATAGGTATTATTGGTCCACTGTTACCCACCACTACTTACGACCGTGTATATACATCTCTAGCTAGATATTTACTTACGTGCATTGATAGAGTAACGAGATGGGTAGAAGCCACAAGAGACCCTTACAAGACACTTCCGCCACCACCATAGCATTAACATTCCTGAATACATGGGTCTCTCGCTTTGGAGTTCTATTACATGTCGTTACGGATCGGGGAAGCCAATTTGAAAGTGAACTGTTTAGAGGCCTGTCCGCTATAATAGGCTCCCACAGGCTCCGCACAAGAGCATACCACCCTCAATGAAATGATCGAAACGTTACACCGCACCCTAAAACAGCTATCATGACGAAAAAGCAGAGCTGGTTGGACGCATTGCCAATTATACTGCTTGGCATTAGGAATATGCCTAATGAGCAAGTCTTCTCCCAGCTACTGCTGTCACAGGAACCCAGTTATTGCTGCAAAAACCAATCGTCAAATAGGAATACCCTGACTTGACAAAAGAGGACAAAAGAATTGCAAAAGAGATGCAAGAGTTGCATTTAACCTTCCTCTCAAAAGGACTGTCGCATACAACTCAAAACTCTTTTATACCCAAATAACTGGAAACAGCAACACACGAACAGACAGAATTAGGAAACCATTGGAAGCGCTATATTCAGAGCCAAACAAAGTAATTAAAAAAAAGACAAGTATTTTTTCATAGATTCATTGGCCGGTGATGAGCAAACAGTTTCAATTGAAAGATTGAAACCAGCAATATTCACCCATGCCCAGGAAAGAAATAAAAACAAAGCCCAACAGAAAGTTCATCTCCAACACATGACACACAGCAAAACACACTATAGGAACCAATCGTCCAGGGGCCAGTCGCCACACGCTCAGGTACACATACCTATAAAACATAGATAAATAAAATAACAAGAACTTAGACACACACACTTCATAAGAAATTAACTTTCCTTCTAATGCATCCTTACTGTAGCTCCGCTACTTTCGGGTGATGTGTTGTGGGGATTGTATACTGATAAAATAAAATAAATAAATAAAAACATAAGATAAAAGAAATACAAAAAAATAAAAAAAGAATATCCCAGGATGCCTCCTCCCCGACAGGAAGAAGAAATGGCACATGCGCGAGAAAAAGGGGCTTCCTGGCGCCAAAGACAGTTTTTTTTCCCCAAAACTTTCAACGGGTAAACACGTGTCTTTTGCTTGGAAATGCATTTCTCTTCAACAGAACGTTATTACTGTAATAAAGTTCCCAAATCCATTTCCAGGGTCTCTGCCTCCTTCTTCCCTTTGTACTTTCTATTTCAGCAAAAGCAAGAATTCAACACGGATTTGGAGAACGCTGCAGCTGATGATGACCAAATCGAAAAGCTAATTAAAAATAATCCAGATAAGACTACACGGAATACCGTAAAGATACTCCACACATTATCATATGAGCGTTGCAAAGAATTTGAAAACACTTGAATACAAGAATCACTACGATATTTGGGTGCCTCACGATTTAACGAAAAAGAATGTAATCGGTAGCATTTCTATTTGTGATTCTCTGCTCAAACGCAACAAAACCGAACAATTTCTAAAGAGAATAATCAAAGGCAATTGTATTGATTACAACTAGGTGGCTCGAAAAAACTACCCAAGAGGCCAGTTTGCATCTGAATAAGATGATACTGTTTATCTGGTGGAATTAGATGGTCTCCTTCCGCAAAATCAAATTTGAATTCAAAATAATAACGATTAATGGCAGCAATCGATGAAAAGTATCTGGAATTGTTCAATCGGAAGGGATTAGTGTTTCCTCAGAACAACAACAGACTTCACGTATCTTTGCACGTCAGGCAGAAATACAGTTTGGCTGATATATCCTACGTACCTACATGACCTCGCACCTCGGATTTTCACTTATTTCAATCCCTACAAAATATTTTTAATGGGAAGAACACTGGAAGCCTGTAAAAGTTCATCCCCCTCGAATTTGTCGATAAGATGGCGAAATATAGTGGAGCAAAATGGAGGATTGTGACACTATGGTAATTGGCTAACTAATCAACCATAGAAATTAAAAACGGGAAATACTTAAGGCGAGAAAGAGCTATATCGAAAGATAGACTGAGCGACATTAAAAATAAGATTTTATTTTATTTACAAAAAAAAAGATACTTTTCGCAAAAGACGAGAAAATCAGTGATTCGTTCGAGAACATAAGGACAAGGAAAAATCGTATTGGGAAATAATATTATGAACAGACAAAACCAAAATTTTAGTTTTTTGGACGTAATTCTAGAAATCATGTATGGAGCAAAGATGGCGATGCCTTCAAACAAAAGAACTCTTGGTTTGGGGATGTTTTCTGCAACATATCAGTAATAGATGGTAGAATGAATGCCGCAGCATATCAAATTATTTTGGAAGCAAATTTAACGACTTCGTTTGAAAATCTTGAACTTCCTCCTGATTGAATCTTCCAACAAGATAATGATCCTAAGCACACTGCAAAATCTACGAAGAAATGGCTCGCTGAAAATGATGTAAATATTCTGAAATGGCCAAGACAGTCCCCAGATTTAAACCCAATCGAGAATCTGTGGCGTTATTTGAAAATTCAAATCTAATCGAGAGCTCCAACAAACAACCCGGATCTGAAGACCATATGCGATGATGAATGGAACAAAATACCAACTAAAATTTGTAAATCATTAATTTAGAACTCCAAGAACCGGTTGGTTGCTGTAGAAATGAATAATGGATATTCTACAAAGTATTAAATGAAGATTATATATTCTTTTTTGTATTTTACGAATACTTTTTACGCATTAAAATGGATGGGATATTGGTTTTCTTTTATGCCACTAATTGCTACTGCAGTTATCCTTGTTATAATGTCATATAAATAAGCAACTGAGAATACTAAGTCTGCAATCATTTGTTGAAATATGATTGGTACTTACTGAACACTATTTGACTGTGTGTATTAATTGTTAAGTGATGATTCAACTTCTATTTGAAAGTATACGTTTGATAAATCAATATTTTAAAAATTGACTTCCATTTAGCTTAGCAGCAGAGGTTTCTACAGCTACAGTAGGCCCCACTAGTGGACGTCATGCTTTGTTTAGAGCGGTCGAAAAATCGGTATACAGGGGTAATTTATTTTAATTTGTTTTTGGCCACAGGTGCTTACCATGATTAAATGATATCCAACTTTTCGCTGACATTATAGTGAGAATAGGTTTGTTGCTCAATTCGCTAAATGCAGCACTAAATGGTGTGTCTTTCTGTGTTCACCTCAGAGTAAAAAACCATGGTACCAGATTTAACGTTAGATGTATGCGTCTCCTTGCTATTACTACAGAACAACAGCATCTATTCCAATGAAAAAAATAGTTTTCCCCCTTTTACATTTCTCCTCTGGTGTAGATATAACACTACCAACTGGTTTTACTGGTCAAGCGTCTCCTCTACCCACGTTTTTATTTAGGCGATCTCAAAAATCATCATCATTCTTATCTTTGTAAGTTGCATCCGCACTAATAAAGATATTTTCACCAAAGATTTGAGTGTATATTCCATATTTTTTGCCACTCAGTTTCTTAGTTTAGATTAAATCGGGTTCTTCATTTTCTTAACAGGTGTCGCAACAGTCACTGCAATCCTTTTTAAAATATATTTTCATGGCTTATGTATCACACTTCGAAAATGATTCCATTTATATGGAATTTAAACTGAATTTGTAATCATGTACAATGTTCTTGATAGTTTTGTCATTTGATTAAACATTAATTCTAATAGCTTTGTTTGCTGCTGTTATACTTGACGGATTCCGAACACAAAATGGTAGAACCGACGTGTTACACCAGCGTTGAGTGTAATACAAATTCTACTCCTCGTAATCATTGTCATGTCTACTACTTTCCTTTTCAGCTTTATTACGAAACTTGCTGAAAACTTCCCAGTTTGGCCCACTCATTTTTTATTTTCGTTTAGGTCTTCTTGGTTTGCTTTCAGCATTCTTTCGTATATTTTGTTAATCTTGTTTGGCCAACTTTTGTCTATATTTGCGTCCTTGTAGTGTTCAAGTCGCACTAAATAACAAAGAATTTCTAGCTATTTGAAACTTAAATCAAGTGCAGCAGGTGTCGCTCAAAATGACTTGTATCATTATTTATATTTGGTTTCGATCTCTGCTTCCCGAGAAAGTTTCTCTTCAAAATGTGACTTTGCAAAAAGCGGGATTTGAAGCTCAAGACTCAGCCATTACTCCAGCAAACTGCAAATATGGGACAGGTAAAGAAAAATTCAAAAGAACATGATTCATAATTCATTCAAAAACCCTAGAAAAGTTAAACGCAGGGAACGATCTTCATTGAGCTCAGATTCAGTGTTGCCAGATTATGCGAGGTTAAAAATATATATTAATATATTATACTAGCCATTATCATTGCTTTTATGCTTCAAGGGGAGTAACTCTTATCTTCTTTTTGTATCCAAAATTGCAGCTAGCTTAAGCTAGCGTAAAAGCCTCCCTATCGGGCGGCATTTAAGCTAGCACCTGTGGAGGACTCTTGGTTTGGCTATCGTCACAATAGGGCGGAGTAAATGAGCTAGGCATCAATAAACTACAGAAGAACTCAAAATTGATTGCTACATTTAAGTACTGAATTAATGTTTGAGCTTACCTTTTAAAATTCCAACGATAATTCATCTGCTGCCGCTTAAATTAAAGATGATTTGATGTATGTAGATACTTTTTTTTCCGTACAAACACTTATTTTTATTTCATGGGAGACGGAACAGAGGACAATTTATAGGATATAAAATTAATATAGTGTAAAGATGGGAAAATAGAAATTAGACTTAGTTATACATTCAACATTTGAAGAGTTAGAGAAACATAATAGCTAATTAAGTAAAACCTATATTATGGAATAATGAATAAATGTGAAATTGGAGCTCAATTATCCCATGAATTCTGAGTTTAAAAATCCTCAGCTCTACTTTATAGCAATTTGGTATCTGCTCAAAGCGTATCCAAATGTAAACAATCATCGTCACACATTATGAAATGGACAAATTCCGACAATTATTTTAAGACATTTTTATGTTTTTCAGCAGATATGAATGTACGCGAGAGATTCATGGAAGATTGAAGTTTAAAAGCAGTAAAATCGACCTTGCTAATTGAACGATCCTCCGTGGCTCGATTGGTTAAGGCATGTCAGGCTAAATGACGGTTCCGTATAGAATACAGGTTCGATTCCTGTCGGAGGACGAATATTTTCTATGAAAATTTCTCGGACATTCAGGCCGGTAAATGTTATTAATACTGTTTATTATGAAACAAAGCATTTACTTAAATATTTGTATCTATAAAAAGAATGTATAAACATAAAAATGTCTTAAAACATATTTAAACGCTCGCAAAAAATGTAATCACTACACTCAGTAGAAATTTACCCATTTCTTTTCACTACCGTTAATTAGACAGACACAGATACATCACAAAACATACACAAATGCCTACTAAAATTTAAACACTTACATACATACTGATGCCACAAAAATGAACTCGTGATATCTACACCATCAATGAAAATAAACAGTATGGAATCCAAAATATCGAAACATCTCTGCGTTTCCTTCATTCCCAAAAACTTCCGATAAAGTAGCGAAGCATGTTAAATTTTTAAAGATTTTCCTATTTGTTCCTTATTTAACTATATATAACACTATATTTTAATAGTTTATTTTAATGTATGCTGAATATTATTTCTATGATTAATAAGAAAAATACAGTTCTTTTAGCAATACTGAAGATCATTAAGAATATAAAATATAATGTCAGATTGTGGTTCTAAATTTATTCTTCCTATTCTTATAGTCCAGAATGATGATGATATTTCATCATTCTAAAAATAATCTTGTCATCAGTTTTGATAGAAGAGAAGGATATTTCAATATCCTACCCTCATCATTATAAAAACGACCCTTCCACCACAAGAGAGTAGAGTAATATCCATAGCAGTAGTCAGTAGTAGAGTAGACATTCAGTAGATGAGTAGACAAGTAGCAGTACACGTCTGCCAGCGCTCCAGGAAGATCGAAAACAGACCATTTCAAACGCATCTTCATAAACGAAATTCTCGGAACCAAACAAAAGAGACACTGAGAACATTTTTACATACACCATACCAATATTCTGTAATTCACATCACAAAAAAGAAAATACAAATTTTTGTTATTTATGTCAACACGTCTCAACTTTTTATTGTTGTTATTGTTGTACGTTTATGCATTTTAATTTCTGTCATTAATATCAGCCCCTATTCAAATAGTAACAACGGGGAAAATAATACATCAACACCCAAAATTACTTACACCATTACACTATCTTCAAAATTTACACTAAATATTGTTAAACCAACTTATATTCAAAGTTCGAATGCTTATGTACAAAATATTGTTGATATAAGTAGAATATTCTTCTTTAGGGAGATGTTTGAAAAACAAAAATCACTAAACTTGCCCTCGTTGCCTTTCAGTATGTCATTAGACTGCAGATCAATCATCCCTAATTTTATATATGCTAAGAAGTTTTCAATGATGCATAAACAAATTACTTTTTTTTAATTTTATACTTATTAACATTAAAAGGACAGTAATATTTTATAAAATTATTATTTCAGAATATTTTGTTATGCTTGTTAGCTACGATTACCATATGCGCGCATGCAGAAACAAGGTCATAGCCCGGAAATCTGCGATCAATGAGTTGACGGAAGATATCAGGATATAAAGAGTCGAATCGGGACTAAGCAAAGGCAAAAGAGTTGCCGAGAACAATTCTGTTCTGTTCCCCTTGTATGAACAATAAGTTTAAAATATTTATTTGACTTAACATCTCGGTTTTTATCTTTTTAACCCCACCATGGGCTAATGGAAGTTTTCCTTTTCTTTTTTTGCCTTCGGTTATTTGGGGACTTCATGAAGTCCGTGTTTGTTATTCATGGTTAATTTGGCACAACCTATGAAATAAAATTAAGTAATTATTTTATTCATAAATGATTTTTTTTACAAATGAATAGTGTTAGAGTTCTATATTACTATTTATTTTGGGGTATCCTCAATGTCTACATTGTAGTGTAGTTGGCATATAGTTTAATCCCGTCCTGTGTACTTTATACAATGAAAATGTTTTTGACAGTTAACTTTAAAAAAAACTGAGATCAGTGAGAAATAAAACAATAGCCGAAATTGCAATTGACTTACCTCTACCGCTTCGACCCATTCTCGGACATTCAAAAAAGATCTTTCATAAGTACAGTCGTATAATAGCAATACGCCATCAGCTCGCCTGAAGTAGGATTTGGCAATGCTACGAAATCTGCATAAAATAATTATTTTTTTACTTTCCAAGTAAAAAAGGAGAGAAAAAGAAACAAATGCAAATATCATTGATATAAAAACAAAAGAAAACATTTTTAATGAAGTAATCAGGTGACAGAATTTAAAAGGTCGAAAATCTAGAACTTTCTGGTTTACCAAAGTCGTTTCACATGCGTACACACACACACGCGTACACACACACAAGTACATGAAAGCATTTTAGGAGATGGTTAAGTTATGTTTTATGGTACTTATGCACTCGTCAAAATTCTCGAAATTGATCAGAATCTAAGAAAAATGAACTAGTAAAAAGCCGCTGTCATGTACAATAATTAAAATTAAAACAAATGTCAAAAGATACTATCAAAACACAACCAAAAAGTTAAATTATTAATTTAAATATGAAAATTAAATTAATAATCACAAAGCTTGAAATAGGCTCTTGTGTAAGGCCCGTTTCTGATAATATTTAGATAAAAATGAGACAACCAACCCACTGAATTGATGGACTCAAGAAGGAAAATACAAGCTGAGTATAAGGGAATTTTATGAAAGAAAATTATGCACATACTTAAAAGGAAGATTTGGCATCAAAAAAGAAAATAAATGCCGGAGACAAAGGAATTGGCGGCAACAGGAGAGAAAATACACGCCGAAATAACGTGAAATCCGGTAGTAGAAAGGAAAATATATGCAGAATGTAAGGGAATACTTCGCAACAGAACGGGACATATATGCAGAAAGAAGGAGAATTGGGGGAGGGGTTACAGGAAAGAAAATACACGCCAAAATATGGGGACATTTGGTAGTAAAAAAGGAAAATATACGCAGAATGTAAGGGGATACTTCGCAAAATAAAGGAAAATATACGTTGAAAGCAAGGAAATTGGGGGCAACACGTGAGAAAATACACGCAGAAATAATGGGACGAAAGAAACACCCATCTAAATAAAGGGACATTTGGTAGTATAAAATAAAATATATGCAGAATGTAAGGGAATAGTTTGCAGCAGAAATAAAAATATGGGCTGAATATAAATGAATACTTCGCAAAAGAAAGGAAAATATACGAATAATAATTATTATAATTCACAAGAGAATAGTTTGAATGGTTGAGAAAAAATGAAAATAAATAATATAATAGATCGAACCCAGAATTAACTAGCTAAGATTCAGTAAAATTGACAAAACCAATGTTCTCCAACCTATTCACTTCCTGCTGATAAAAAGACGTGATTAATGTGTTGTCCAAAATATTCTTTGGTCCTGAGAATTAAATTATATAGATTTGTTTACATTGATCCAAATTATTTTAAACCATTTTTTTTTTCATTTTTATTAATTCCCTATATTGGGATATGTTTGTGCCGATGTTCCACACCAAAATACTATTATCTTTACAGAAAAAAAAGATATCTAGGAAGATTCTAAACAAAGAGAGTATCATATGGCTTTTTAACAAGATTAAGACTGTTGGGGGTGGAGAAATTAAATATATCAATGTCATTTTGGGGGGGGGGGGGGGGTGAGAGGTCAATATAAATGAAATCCCCAAGCCCAGAGAGACAGACAGAGACGACTCGGAGAACTTTCAGATTTTTCGGGAGGTAGTTGTTGCTAAAGTGTCCCTGGTGAACAGGAAGCAATCCCGAGAAGCCTCACATATGCCAGCTTCTGTCGTCACGGTTCGCCCGTCCGGCAATGTGGCATAAGCGATATTTCGAAGTTCTTCTGCACGCAATTCAGCGGCCATATTCGTAGACTAAGAAGACCTTGTTTTTAACCTAGCTCTAACTACCAGAGCTTGATCCTTCTTGATAAGCAAGGAGACCAGCTTCCCCCTAGCTACGGCTAATTCCACACTATCATGGGATTTAATCACTCGACCTACCTTTGATTTACATGTTGTTTGCGATGCTTTGGTTGAATCGCCGACTATAATCAGAATCAAAAAACCTAACATTGAATTTTAATATATCCCACCACTTATTCCCAACAACACCCCCGCCAATTCCCACTGTAGTATTAGTAATAACTGTTCCTGGAAATCTTTAACCAAATAATGACATTATTAGTCCGATTAGAGTTGGTATTGGTGTATCTGGCTTGAACATGGTTGAGGAAAGGACACCAACAGCCTCTCTCATTGACCCCTGTCCATCTTAGTCTTGATGGGACCGTCTTTGTCTTCTTCCGCTTCTCTTTCGCCTCTACTGAAGGGTTTCATTGTCTCTTGGTGGGGAGCATTTTTTATGTTTTGGGAGAGGACTGAGTGTCGGACAAGGCGTAAGTAGTGATATTTGAACTGACTAGGATCTTTACTGAGGGAGATAATTTTACCTGAGGATGGGTTTGTGGATGATGGTCAAGGCAAGGATTTCTGAGCAGGAGAGAAAAGAGCAAAGGACGAGAGGTAGACTTTCTTTCACCATCAATAAAGGAAGCGTTACATTTGGCTTCTAAATTTGCTTTCGGTTGCTTTATTTTCTTAACTTTTCTCATAACAAAGGTTGTATTTCTTTTGCAGTTCCTTGAATATCATGTGAGACTGGGGTGTTGCCTTTAACACTAGTAGAAGGAGTGGCGCAGTGGATTTCCTTAGCCCTGGGAGCTTCAGAAGGCTGATGGCCCACTGTCTGGCGCTTCCCTCTAACCCTACTAGCGACTAGATTCACAACAGCACAAGTAGGAGGCAAAAGTATGTTGAGGAATGTGAGACGGGACCTAACCGGAAATTTGACCACACCGGACCCAGTTGCTGGTATATCTATTACAAGCGTCGCGGAACTATCATTATTGGCCAAAGAGTGGGGGATTTCTTCCCTGGGCAGAAAGGGGAGATGTGACGAGACTCTCCGGACTTCCAGCAAGTTGGTTTTCTGTCGGTCACAATGACCCACATTTTCTGGACGTGAACATCCAGATAGCTGGGGACTGTGTTGAAGGCCTCGCGATCAAATTGTCGGAGGTTCCACCTAGAATTTGCCCATATTGTCTTAGGTGCTCTTCTAAAGTCCGAGAAGAGATCTGCCACCTTGATCGTGCTCAGTTTGAATTATCAGATCTTTGGTGATTAATTATCGACTTACTGCCTCAATGCAGTCCTCAGGCTTGGGTAGCAGTATGCCCCACATCAAGTAGCCTGTTCCCTTTATAATCCGTTTTGAACACTGTGACTTTCGAGGAGCGACAAATGTTACGCGAACTTTTGTAGACCACGAAACCTTGTGTAATTCTTGAGGTTCTTTTACGAGATGAACGTAACTTTTGTGCTGCTCAACACAAGAAAAGTATACGTAGAGAGTAAGAGAATAGGTCACACTAGGAATTAATATACACGCATATAATAAGGGTATAGTTGGTGACAGAAACGTAAATATACGCTCACAGTATGGTAACTCGTGGCAGAAATGTTCACATGCGAGAATAATTAGCGAGACAAAACATGATTAACATTAAATAGCTGAACATTTTATTTTATTTTAACTATCTTTTTTTTATAGAAATTAGATTTTAACAGATTTATTTCCAGGTTTCCGTTGGACGATGGACGTTTTCTTTTAATTTAATTCTAGCTGCACCCTTACAAAACGAACTGATAAGGTAGATCCCAAACGTTGAACTTTTGCATCCAGTCGATACCTACTAGATTTTCAGTATCTTTCATGACGTATATCTTAAGTTTTTTTGTTTCTCCGTGAAATTTAACATTCACGATTATTTCTCCCTCGAATTTTATTCGCTTGCCTGTAACCGACTTGGCAATTTTTTTGTGTGTGTAGCATGGTTGGTCTGTTAAGCTTTCTCCATGTCTGTAGGTTGATTATCGTAAGGTCGGAACCCGAATCCAGTTGCAATTTTATGTTTTTATTTAATATTTCCAGTTCCACATATTTCCTTATGTTGGTGTTGTCTTCGTTATGCATCTTAGTAGCTCTTATATCTTTTCTGTTCCTACATTGGCTTGCCTTGTGGCCCATTTTTCCACACTCAAGACAGTTTTAATATCTAAAACGGCAATCTTTGTTCCAATGTAGTCCTCCACATCGATAACATGCTGATGGGGGAAGGGGGTTATATTTACTTCGATTTTCGTCATAATTTGTCCTGTATGTTGTACTTTTTCTCTTATTATGAAATTTTTGTTTTCTTTCCGAGGAGGGTGAGAATCTTTTTTCATTATTACAGAATTTTTGTTTTCTTTCCGGGGAGGGTGAAAAACGTAGACTTTTGTTTAACTTACGTATATGAGATACAGCTGACTCCTCAATGTTCTTTGAGTCTTTCTTTATGCTTAGGCACTTCTGGCAATCTTCCGATAATTGTTGTAGTGTTAGTCCAGGTTCATTTTGTAATCTGAAAGCATTCTTTTGCGCATTTCGATATCTTTTGTAGAAACTAACCCTTGAACAAAGATGAGACATTTGAAATTGTCTGGGGTTAATTCCGCTATTTTGAAGTCGTCACAATGTTTATTTACGATTGCGGCAAACGTGGAATAATCCTCATTATCGCACTTTACCGGGTTAAGGCATTTCCACCTCCTGTGGAAGAGTGAAGTTTTGGGGCTGAAGAGTTCCTTAAGACATGTCACTGCTTCGTCAAATGTTAATTCGTTCGTCTTTTTGGCAAGATATAATCCACGAACTTTGTATATTCTTCAGTTCCTAATTTTCTAAGCAATAGACGTAGCTTTTTTGCTCCTGTCCAGCTTTGACAGTCGATGTTAACGATGTCTTCATGTCTTCTGAAGTAATCTCCGAAATTTTTATCCTCATCTCGAGAATATTTGAAAATCTCTATGGTATTCCACACTGCGTCTTGTGAAAAAGTTGCCTTTTTTTCAATACCTAATTGCTTGTTACCCGCTACTTTCAATATTAGTTCATGGAGCTCTATTTGTCTTTCTTGGTTTTCCTTCTGCGTTCGTAGTAATTGCTTTTGCCATTTTTCTTCCATTCTTTCTTGTAGTTGTAATTGTTGATCATTTTGGTATTT